TGACGTGCTTATCAGAGGCACGGAGGCTACTACATGCATTAGATGAACTGTGACAGAGGGACCAAACAGAGAAGCTTTATTTCCACCAGAGAAATGCTTGTCGATAGTATGGGACCATTTTGGCTACACCAAGAGTGACCAGGGTGTCGTTTAAATATTGCTGTAAAAAACTGCTGCTAAAGAGCGAATGCATAGAGGATAATGCACGGCTTGCTGTACACTGAACGGTAAGAACCACCTGACGCGAAGCTACAGCTCGTTAGCTCCTCATTCTGCCCGCTTCAGATCAGAGAGAGATGAAATAGTGCGGTAAGATCACATTTATTTGAATTAATGAATTATAACATTTAGCTACTTGAATTAATCATGAGAGAGAGAGAGAGGTGACAGTTGCCTGTGTGAATTAGCCTACCTGCGTCTGTGCGTCTCTCCAGTAGGCTGTTTAATCTATTTTATTAATAAAAATCACGGGGCAGCATTCTCAAGAAGTTTGTGTCCTCCTGAATGTTTGTACACATGTGCAGCGCGATCTCCGATCTCACAAACCAAAATAATAGACATGATTTTCTCAGGCCACATGTAAAATCATATGAATTATTATAAAGATTATTAAAATGAATACGTATGGATGACAGTTGATTACAATAATATTTCAGTATATTTCCATTATTAGTAACAGTTTCCCCTGTGGGACAAATAAAGTTAATATTAGTCGTATATTAATAATAGGCTACTTCATTAACTTTATTTACTATCCCTGGTGTAGTATTATTCATAAGTAAAAACCAACAAGATTTTTTTTTCACCATGTTTCCAAATTCTCTACCCCAGGTCCAAAAGAAATTTAAAGAATGTACACACTGAAAACATTAAATACTTTTGTGATCCATTTCCATTTGTTATTTTCAAAAGAGAAATACTGTCATGGATGTTTACAGAGCAGAGGTCACCTTTTTTAATTCCAATGGGAGAGATGGATTTTTGTTTGTCTTTTGTTTATTATTAGTTTGTGCTGTATTGTTGGTTACGGTGTTATTTTCAAAAGCCAGCAATAAATAACACTTTAATATCTAAAGAGTGTTCATGTGATTTTTATACATTAGTAATGTTGGGAAATGAATAAATGCATAATAATCGTAAAACCGTGATTATTCCTCAGACAATAATCGTACCAACAAAATCTATAATCGTTGCATCCCTAGTACAGTACAGTCAGTATTATTGCTAGTATTATTTTGTCATATTGAATGACATTTTTTGTCCATGGCTTATCGCATGCCTCTTACTTGATTGTCTATTAGATTCTCCAATCTTGGGAACACCTGTTACATGAACGCCATACTCCAGTCACTTTTCAGCCTGCCCTCCTTTTCGAATGACCTGTTAAAGCAGGGCATACCATGGAAGAGGGTCCCCGTCAATGCGCTTCTGAGGTATGGTCACGCTGTGTTGTTTTCCCTTGAAATTAGGTACTTTTTGGACTATTCTAAACATTTGTTAGAAATTTGAAACGTAATGATTATCAAGACACAAGCCTGTTGATGTTTTGTTTTTGTTTCCATATGAAGGCGCTTTGCTCATCTGCTGGCTAAGAAAGACATTTCCCCTCCAGAAGTGAAGAAAGATCTTTTGCGGCGAGTGAAGAACGCTATTTCCTCAACAGCTGAGCGTTTCTCTGGTTACATGCAGAATGTAAGACATGTGACCTCTTTATTTCTAATGCAGATGCATCGGACTTGAAGCCCGTTCACACCAATGATAACGCTAACATTTTAATAATCACATTCAGAGCACTTTATTTCAGCTGCTGAACGACAAAAACACTGACAGCCAATAAGAATCTGACTTCAAAGAGCTTGAGGATTTAAATTGACATGACAGAACTGCATAGTAAACAATTGTATTGTCCGTTAGTATGGATGCTAATATAGTTATAATTATCTTTACAGTTGTTGTTGTTGTTCTTGGTGTGAATAAGCCTTCTTGACACATTGTTCACATGATGCAAGTGCCGATCAGCTGTTTGTGCCCAGGATGCCCATGAGTTCCTGAGCCAGTGTCTGGACCAGCTGAAGGAGGATGTGGAGAAGATCAACAAAAGCTGGAAGAACGAGCCCTCGGCCTGGGAGGAGCCACAGAGCGCTCGGTTAGCAGAGGAGGTGGACACCTCACGCATTTACACCTGTCCGGTTACAGTCAACATGGAGTTTGAAGTGCAGCACACCATAACATGTAAAAGGTGAATAAAAGAGGCCATGTAGTTATTACAGGACATATTATTAAAAGTCACGAGACGACACATGCTGCCTGACATACTGACCCAGTCCTCTCTTGCTCTGGTGAACAGCTGTGGAGAGGTGGTGACGAAGCGCGAGCAGTTCAATGACCTGTCCATCGACCTGCCGCGCAGGAAAAAAACACTCTCTCTGAGATCCATACAGGACTCTCTAGATCTCTTTTTCAGGGTACGACACTACATCATACCAGCTGTAAAATGTGAATGATCGAAAACAAAGTCCCGTTCACACCAAAATTAATGTTCAGTGATAAACATTTTAATTTGATAAATGGCTATTAATGCATTTGTTTCGGATCAACACGAATATTTGCATGGTCAATAACAAATACAAAAATCTGAATGGCTGTTTGAAAACATAAAGATACTGTTTGACTTGTTTTTGTCACTGACAGTGGAGTGCTTCACTACTTTTTCCTCAAAGACTGATTTTTTTTTTTTCTCGTTCAACCTGTATGGCATATATTCAAATATGCAAATATTTTTTACACATTGATCTGAACAGACAAACCCTGTGCAAAAACCAAATCAGATTTTTGTGCTGAACATTTGTGACCAACCCTTTTTTGTCACGATTGAGTTGCTAAAATCTTGCCTGGCTGAATAAAACCGCAAATTATTTTTATGACTTTCAATCAGTGACGATACTTATTACCCAAATGAAACCATTTTACAATATGGTACTTCACTTTTCATTACCTGTTGGCTTTGTGTTTATAGATGGAGGAGATTGAGTATTCCTGTGAAAAATGCAGTGGAAAAGCAGCAACCGTCTCTCACAAATTTAGCAGGCTTCCCAGGTTGGGATGAACAGACACGCATTAGGTTGTTGTGTAGATTCATTTGTGGTCAATTCAAAACCTTTAAATGACTCCCTCTCTGCAGAGTGCTGATTCTACACCTTAAACGCTACAGCTATAACAGTCAGCTGTCTTTGAACAGCAAGCTGGGCCAACAAGTCCTGATCCCCAAATATCTCACGTTGCTCTCACACTGCACAGACGCCACACGCCCCCCTCTCAGCCTCAGCTGGAGCGCACAGACCGCCATGTAAGACTCACTCTTGCACTTGCTATCATTTAGCGTAGCACCCTTCATACTCGCTCACTAATGGCTGATTTCATTTCAGCTCCAGGACGCTGAAGATGTCACAGTCGGTCAACTCTTCAACACTACGGTGAGAGCAGCCCTCTGATGTGCATGCTGAGAGTATTTAGTCTTGATTCATACTAATGGGTTTTAAATTGATGGTTTACAGGAAAGGTTCTCAAAAGCCAGAGAGCTCGGGCAGCATGTTGTGTGACTCGGATAGTGAGGAGGAGCTCGTCAGAAAAGTTGGTCGCAAACATCATTCAGAAGATGACAGGACGGAAGAGGTGAGAAGAATAGCTGTGTCTTTTTAATGGATTGTTTGAATCTGTCCACATGGCATTTGTGGATCAAATCAAACACTCTACATTTGGTTACAGCAAGCTACAAAGGTGTCATGTCACAAGCAGGGTTACTATCTTAAACACAAACTAAAACATTTGTGTTAATTGAAATAAAATATAAATATTAGATGAAGCTTGAACTTATTTCTGTTAGGCAACATTTCTAATTTAAGTTGAAGAACTAAAATAAAATGAACTACATTTAAAAAGTAATATTTAAAGTGAATAATAAGCAGACAATAACTGACTAAATATATAAACTTAAAATGGATTTTAAATTAATTTAAAATATAAAAAATGTAATCGCATATATAATACTAAAATAACACTGGCAGTTGTAAACAGTGTAGATTATGTGTAAGGTGTTGAACAGACATCCTAGAATTTCTAACTTAAACATTTGACAAATTATAGATCTTAATTATAGATCTCTGTTTTAAATGGCAGGATTTTAACAAATATTTGCACTACCGTTCAATTTTGGGTCTCCTACGTCTCCTATGGTCACCAAGGCTGTGTGTATTTGATCAAAAATAGTCAAAAACAGAACAATTTTGAGAAATTACTACAATTTAAAACAACTTATTTATTTGAATATATATTAAAACCCAAAGCTGAATTTTCAGCATCATTCTAATATGCTGATTTAGTGCTCAAACTTGTTAAATAGTTGTGCAACTTAATATTTTTGGGCTATGTTTTCTTCAGGATTCTTTGAATAGAAATTTCATAAGCATTGATTATTTGAAAAATTACACTTAAATTGTTCTTTATGGTTACATTTGATGAATTTAATTTGTCCTTTCTTAAAAGGATGAATTCCCTTCACAGGGAAAGAAAAATGTAGTGACCCCAAACTTTTGAAGGAAACGTATGACTAGTTTGCACCTCACATCTAACCTCCCTTTTGTTCTCGGGTGCAGCACAATGCACAGGTCGAGCACTCAGAGTTTAATGCAATCAACGATGATGAGATGCTAGCAGCTGTGCTGGAGATGAGTCGGCACGACACTAGTTTGTCTGGATGCCCTGATGACGAGCCAACCAGCAGCCCAGACACAGGGTTTGGAGATGCAGACGGGCAGGACCTGACTCATCATTTAGAGCTTCTAGATGGAGAGAAACAGCCTGCAGGTAACTAGAGTGTTAACTAGACTTCATGTTTATATTCCCGGCCTACAGTGTCTATAGAGTTGTGTTTGTTCATTGTTTGGTTTGTGTCTAGATGCCCTGGAGTCTCTAGATCTGACCATGGATGAGAATAAGGAGAACCAGACGCCTGAAGGTGTGCAGGGTGAGCTGGACTGGGTGCAGCAGTACAGTTTAGATCAGGAGCGAGAGGAACAGGAGCTGCAGCAGGCCCTCGCACAGAGCCTACAGGAACATGTAAGGAATCTAGTTGTAAATTCTATATTTTATGAATTTAATCAAATTGTAATCATCGTAATACTTGTATTGTGGACCTTGATTTTTACCTAACGTATTGTCTAATTGGTTTAAATTCTCCCTCAGTTTGCATTTGTGTGTTTATTTGCTGATAAACTGAAACACAGACAAACGTAGAGATCATTATACGTTGCATAATTTGGTTAAGAATTATAATTGAACTAAAAAAAAATCCTGGGGGGTGGGGTTGAATCTCACTGAAACTTAATAACATATCCAGGTCATATTTCACCACACAATCAAAGTAACATAATTGTGGTGTGTTTTGAATATAAAACATTTTAAGGACAGTTTTAAAATATTGATAAATCTAAAATCAAAATATCTGAAGTAAAACATACAACAACAACAACAACAACAAAAAAACTTAAAAGAGAGAATCTTAAGTTTTACTTTGCCAAAAAAAAAGGCTTCATTCTATTCAAGATTTTTTGGGGGGTCTATTTTGATTGAGTTCACAAGTGGCTTGGGCATATTATTGAGAATGTAGGTCTTTTAGCACAATCTTCTTGGCAGCTGTACTTTTCCAGTGTTGTTCATCCTTGACGTCAGCACAGCTTAACTGATGATGATGATAATGACTGTGAATATTATCTGTATATCTGCAATATTAATTGCACAGGAGGCGAGAGAGATGAGGGAAGATGACGATCTGAAGAGAGCCACTGAGCTCAGCCTGCAAGGTCAGAATGACACACCCAGAACATTGTGTTCTGTGTCACATTATCTTGGTTTATGTGAACATTTTTGTTAACGTGGCTGTTTGTGTTGTTGTAGAGTTTAATAACTCTTTGCCAGAGCTGCTGTGCTCTGATGACGACTCTGGGAATGAGGATGGCCTGGATATGGAGTACAGTGAGGCTGAAGTTGAAGAGCTCAAGAAGAACGCTGAGGTGAGTCCGAGACCCTCGGTGCGGTTTGAGAAGTGCCAGTTTTCAGGGCATGGTTTGAATGATCGTGTAATGTTTTGTTACACAGACTGGAGAGCTTCCGAACTCCTTCAGACTCATCAGTGTGGTCAGTCACATCGGCAGCAGTTCATCATCAGGTACTGGCGTCTTTTAGCTGTTGTTTTTGCATTGTGGACCAAGTACAGTACGTTTTATCAGCTGCTGTTTGTCTCTTTCCTCCTATAGGGCATTACATTAGTGATGTTTATGACATGAGGAAACAGTCCTGGCTCACATACAATGATCTGGACGTCTCCCGCACACAGGAGTCCACAGTTCAGAGAGATCGTGACCGGAGCGGATACATCTTTTTCTACATGCACAAGTAAGTATAAATACAAGAAATTCATGCAAATTAGTGAATGAGACCCACTGCTATTGTTGTGATCTGATGAGACGTTTTTGTGTTCAGAGATGTGTTTGAGGAGCTGTCTGAGCTGGAGAAGGCAGGAGGGAACAGTGATGCCGGTCGCACAGTGCTGCAGCCGCTATAAATGCTCTCGCACGCTTCTAACATCCCATCCGGGTGGATCCTTCTGCTGATGAACAGCTGAGCCAGGGGTAAACGCAACACCCTTCATCAGTACTGCTGAAGACCGTCCACACACACATGCACCTACTTTGGGCACTTTTCCTTTTCTATTTCTTTCACTTTTCCCATTGCTCCCTGTGAAATACTGTTGCCGTGTCAAATGTAGACTTGCAGTTAGATGGGTAAATGTTCTAGAAACTCTTAGGTACAAATGTTTATGGGGAAACGCAAAGAAAATAAATATAGAAAGCATTTTGAGTTGAAGTTGCTCTTATTATAATTTTTTTCTTCTTTCTTTTGTTTCAATATTTTGTTTGCCTTGATGAAAAGACACTCTGGTAAACTTGTGCATTAAGAAATATTTTTTTTCCCCTTTCCCCTCTGCAAATTTTAGATTTCCTTTTCAATCTATTGCATATAAAAATGTATTCTTGTATATGTTTGGGTGGAATAGGGAATAAGGGCTGTCTGTCTTGTTTGATATGCAGCTGAAAATGTGGTGCAATATTTGCTTTTGCCAGTCGGCTTTTATATGACCTATAGCGATGAAGAGAGACTTGGAATAGTACTGATTTATATTCAAGTCTTTACTGATGACTGTTGGTTGTTTTATTCTTATTTTATAAACGTTAATCTAACGAGCTCAGTGGTATTGATGTAGCTTGTCTTTTTTTTGCTAGCAGCTGTGCTGGAGATGAGTCGGCACGACACTAGTTTGTCTGGATGCCCTGATGACGAGCCAACCAGCAGCCCAGACACAGGGTTTGGAGATGTAGACGGGCAGGACCTGACTCATCATTTAGAGCTTCTAGATGGAGAGAAACAGCCTGCAGGTAACTAGAGTGTTAACTAGACTTCATGTTTATATTCCCGGCCTACAGTGTCTATAGAGTTGTGTTTGTTCATTGTTTGGTTTGTGTCTAGATGCCCTGGAGTCTCTAGATCTGACCATGGATGAGAATAAGGAGAACCAGACGCCTGAAGGTGTGCAGGGTGAGCTGGACTGGGTGCAGCAGTACAGTTTAGATCAGGAGCGAGAGGAACAGGAGCTGCAGCAGGCCCTCGCACAGAGCCTACAGGAACATGTAAGGAATCTAGTTGTAAATTCTATATTTTATGAATTTAATCAAATTGTAATCATCGTAATACTTGTATTGTGGACCTTGATTTTTACCTAACGTATTGTCTAATTGGTTTAAATTCTCCCTCAGTTTGCATTTGTGTGTTTATTTGCTGATAAACTGAAACACAGACAAACGTAGAGATCATTATACGTTGCATAATTTGGTTAAGAATTATAATTGAACTAAAAAAAAATCCTGGGGGGTGGGGTTGAATCTCACTGAAACTTAATAACATATCCAGGTCATATTTCACCACACAATCAATGTAACATAATTGTGGTGTGTTTTGAATATAAAACATTTTAAGGACAGTTTTAAAATCTTGATAAATCTAAAATCAAAATATCTGAAGTAAAACATACAACAACAACAAAAAGACTTAAAAGAGAGAATCTTAAGTTTTACTTTGCCAAAAAAAAAGGCTTCATTCTATTCAAGATTTTTTGGGGGGTCTATTTTGATTGAGTTCACAAGTGGCTTGGGCATATTATTGAGAATGTAGGTCTTTTAGCACAATCTTCTTGGCAGCTGTACTTTTCCAGTGTTGTTCATCCTTGACGTCAGCACAGCTTAACTGATGATGATGATAATGACTGTGAATATTATCTGTATATCTGCAATATTAATTGCACAGGAGGCGAGAGAGATGAGGGAAGATGACGATCTGAAGAGAGCCACTGAGCTCAGCCTGCAAGGTCAGAATGACACACCCAGAACATTGTGTTCTGTGTCACATTATCTTGGTTTATGTGAACATTTTTGTTAACGTGGCTGTTTGTGTTGTTGTAGAGTTTAATAACTCTTTGCCAGAGCTGCTGTGCTCTGATGACGACTCTGGGAATGAGGATGGCCTGGATATGGAGTACAGTGAGGCTGAAGTTGAAGAGCTCAAGAAGAACGCTGAGGTGAGTCCGAGACCCTCGGTGCGGTTTGAGAAGTGCCAGTTTTCAGGGCATGGTTTGAATGATCGTGTAATGTTTTGTTACACAGACTGGAGAGCTTCCGAACTCCTTCAGACTCATCAGTGTGGTCAGTCACATCGGCAGCAGTTCATCATCAGGTACTGGCGTCTTTTAGCTGTTGTTTTTGCATTGTGGACCAAGTACAGTACGTTTTATCAGCTGCTGTTTGTCTCTTTCCTCCTATAGGGCATTACATTAGTGATGTTTATGACATGAGGAAACAGTCCTGGCTCACATACAATGATCTGGACGTCTCCCGCACACAGGAGTCCACAGTTCAGAGAGATCGTGACCGGAGCGGATACATCTTTTTCTACATGCACAAGTAAGTATAAATACAAGAAATTCATGCAAATTAGTGAATGAGACCCACTGCTATTGTTGTGATCTGATGAGACGTTTTTGTGTTCAGAGATGTGTTTGAGGAGCTGTCTGAGCTGGAGAAGGCAGGAGGGAACAGTGATGCCGGTCGCACAGTGCTGCAGCCGCTATAAATGCTCTCGCACGCTTCTAACATCCCATCCGGGTGGATCCTTCTGCTGATGAACAGCTGAGCCAGGGGTAAACGCAACACCCTTCATCAGTACTGCTGAAGACCGTCCACACACACATGCACCTACTTTGGGCACTTTTCCTTTTCTATTTCTTTCACTTTTCCCATTGCTCCCTGTGAAATACTGTTGCCGTGTCAAATGTAGACTTGCAGTTAGATGGGTAAATGTTCTAGAAACTCTTAGGTACAAATGTTTATGGGGAAACGCAAAGAAAATAAATATAGAAAGCATTTTGAGTTGAAGTTGCTCTTATTATAATTTTTTTCTTCTTTCTTTTGTTTCAATATTTTGTTTGCCTTGATGAAAAGACACTCTGGTAAACTTGTGCATTAAGAAATATTTTTTTCCCCTTTCCCCTCTGCAAATTTTAGATTTCCTTTTCAATCTATTGCATATAAAAATGTATTCTTGTATATGTTTGGGTGGAATAGGGAATAAGGGCTGTCTGTCTTGTTTGATATGCAGCTGAAAATGTGGTGCAATATTTGCTTTTGCCAGTCGGCTTTTATATGACCTATAGCGATGAAGAGAGACTTGGAATAGTACTGATTTATATTCAAGTCTTTACTGATGACTGTTGGTTGTTTTATTCTTATTTTATAAACGTTAATCTAACGAGCTCAGTGGTATTGATGTAGCTTGTCTTTTTTTTAAAAGATCTCCCTTCAAGAATCTTTATGCCTCTCCACACCTACAGACCTAGTAAAACAATTTTGTTTTCCTTCTATATGGAGCTTTACAATGTGAAGTTGCACAGCCATTGTGTAGAATGTGTCTTCAGAAAGACGTCAAATTAAAAACGTTTACTGAATATAGGAAGCATCTGATGAGTGCTTCACATGAAGTCAGCTGTTATTATTTATTTGAGATCTTGTTCACTGTCTGATTTGTACTGTACTGCCGTTCTCATTTTCATGTCTTCGGTAACTACTTCATTCATGTTTTCTGTTCTGATCATCCGAGTAGGTTCATGGAAGAGTGGGATTTGTTTGGACATTGTGTGTATGGTGTTCTCTGAAACAGTGGTATAAGCTCTACTTAATTGCTTAGTATTCAGTCTTTGACTTCCTTAAACACATTTTAAATAAAATGTATTTAGAAAAAAATCAACAGTGTTTCATTGGTTTTAATTCAAGATTCAGAACTACTCGGTAGCAAATGTGCTTTTCTCCCTTATTTACGGCCCAAGAGTTTCTTTCAAGAAGCGGTCCAGTGTGTAACGTCACATGTCCAGTGTGCATCTCTTTGTGAGTGGCTCGAGGTGGCTGCCTGTTAGCCTGTTGAACTCGCTGAGAATGTAACTTTCTTTCTGCTGCATCTGTCAAAAAAGAACACAGTTGATCGGCTTCAAGAACAAGGAGAAAGAATAAAAATATCAGCTTAACTTTTAATGGGCAGACTGGGGCTATTTGTCAAGGCTCCATCCCAGCAGCTAAAGGGGCTCAAGTCAAAAGTCCCCCCCCCCCCCCCCCCCCCACCACGGAGATTACTCACGTGCCAGTTTTATCCACTGTTTATGTACTTCATTCTAAAATTAAATTAGATTGTTTTTTTTTTGTTTTTTTTTATAGCTTTTGGGTAAAAGGCGCACACAATTTAAAAAAAAAAATTTTTTTGTAAAAAAAAAATAAACTATATTAGAGGTAGACGGCTAATTTTCATAAATGTAGAATTCTATAGTATTTAATGCCATTTCATATGTAATCATCATAAATTAGATATCATTTATAAATCCGATATCATCACTTAAAATCTCAAAACTAAACCTGTGAAAACAATTTTGAAATCAGACATTGCGTTACCATGGAATGGCACTTTAAAATCTTTTAGCGGTCTCCTCGCCCTTAGTGGTCCTCAAGTGATATTACAAAATCTATTATGGTATTTTACAATCAAAATATTTTATGATCTTGACAAAATACATATAATTGGAAAGGCCTGAGTCTCAAGATTCCATATTTGGTGGCATTTTGTAATATTGAGAAATTTGCATTAAAGGGGTCATATGATATGCTGCTAAAAAGAACATTATTTGGTGTAATGAAATGTTTATGCGGTTTAAAGTAAAAAAAAAAAAAAAAAAAACATTATTTTCCACATACTGTACATTATTGTTTCTCCTCTACGCCCCGCCTTTCTGAAACACGTCGATTTTTACAAAGCTCATCGGTCTGAAAAGCGAGGTGTGCTCTGATTGGCCAGCTATCCAGTGCGTTGTGATTGGCCGAATACCTCAAGAGTGTGACGGAAATGTTACGCCCCTCACCATACTGTGATGCCGTGCACGGAGCGACGAGACAAAAACATTAAAACCCATTATAAACGAGGCATTTGTTGCATCCAGTGGGGACATAATTACTGATTATAATGACTTATACTGTCTTTTTACACGTTGCATTGCATCGCATCACGTAAACATAAAACTCTGTCTGCATTTGTGATCGGAGAAATGACAAACAAGTGCTACTCTACACTGCTCAAAACTCGCGTTTGAATCATCAGTGGCAAATCCTTTAAATGAAAACATACTTATGTGAGTCAGAACTGCCGGCATTTTTGTCTTAACGTTACTCTCCCAGGATCAGGAAACAGTCCTCCATAAATTGTGCTGCACGAATTTGGGTGCCACCCAGGCAATGGTTGGTATAATGCCTAAAAATTTCATAGGAACCTCTTTTTTTTTTTTTTTGATATCCGCTTCAAATTTGGAAGACAACTTATTAGACATATGGCTTTAAATGTAAAAATTATGGATTACAAATATTTTGTAAAATATTTATTTTATATAAAATAAAAAAATAGTATAGGACATTTGCATCTGCAATAATCTACTGAAAAGAGACCAACCTTAGGTCTGTATTACAAAGCGTTCATGAATTCATAACAATTTTAGTTTGGATGGTGCACTTTCACATCTGTGTTCCAAAATGGGGGGTGACTGTTAAGGTGTTTATATTACAGACAAATAAACCTACTCTGAGAAGTATCCCCCCCCCCCCCCCCCCCCCCCCCCG